AATAGCAGTTTTCGATGGCTTGGATGTAGAAGGTGAGGGAGAGCGTGAGGTTGAGGCTGACATTGAGGTTTTGAGCCTGGGTGACTTGGAGGATGGGGTTAGCCTTGACAATAATAGGAAGATCATGAAGATGGGAGGGTATGAAGGCCACTGGAAAACTTATAAATAGTATAGGTGTGTGTGTAAAGGGGGTAGGGGCCAGAAGAGGGGAATAAGAGGCTTTATCTGTTATTTATCTTTTTCCATCTTTGGTCCCAACATGAGTATTACCTGAGCCTGGCTTTGTGGTCCTGGCTTGTTGGTTGGTCAGTCAGTCAACAAACATTTACTAAGCACCTAGTACTTGCCATGCATTGTGCTGAACACTGAGAATACCAAAGGAAAGAAAAGACACTGGCCCTGTCCCCAAAGAACTCACATTCTTTTTTTAAACTTTATTGTTTTTCACAACTAGTAAACATTTGTCTTCCTTTCACTTCCTTCCCAATTGTACAAAAACAAACAAACAAAAAAAGAAGCTCTCATAACAAATATGCCTACGTAAACAAAGCAGATTCTTGTATGGGTCATATCTAAAAATGCATGCCTCATTCTGCATTTTGAGCCTGTCACCTCTATGTCAACAGGTGGGTAGCATGAAAGAGCCCACATTCTAATGGGGGAGAGGGATTTTCAGATTATCATATGATGGAAAAACCCGCTGTGAATGGAGAGGTGGCACAGGGATTAGAGCTCTAGATTTAGAGTCAGGAAGACCTGAATGCCAATCCTTCCTCAGATACTAGTTATGTGACCTTGGTCAAGTCACTTAACTTCTTTGTACCTCAGTTTCCTCATCTGAAAAATGAGGGTGGTAGACTGGTTGTCCCCTGAGGTCCCTCCTAGTTCTAAATTTATGGTCTCATAAACTTAAACTTATCAGAATTTCTTGTGGTTTCAGATCCATTGTCTTCTGGATTCCTAGAAAGGCAAGATAGATTTTCGGCTCATTATAAGGAGGAAACTCCTAATAATTATCATTGTCCAAAAAATGCATTGGGCTGCCTCGTAAGGTAGTGAGTTCCTGGTCATTGGAAGTCTTCAAGTGGAAGCTAATGATTATTTGCTGTGGGGCACACAGAAGGGATTTATGCTTTAGGTAGAGGTTAGACTAGGGGATCTCTGAGGAAGGTCCTTCCAGTTCTGAAGATTCTTTGAAAAACAGAATGTTCTTACACTGCTGGGTGGCAAAAGGAAGAGGGATTTAGGACCTTTAATTTTTTTTTAAACATTAGAACGCTGATAGATCAAAAGGATCAGTCACTAGCTGAGAAGTATTATCCCCTGGACAGGATGAAAACTCGTATTTATCCAGAGTGATTGAGGAATGGTGAGTTCAGCCAATTAAATTAAGAATCACCATAAGTAGAGTGCCAAATCTGAAAGAGCTAAGATCCAGTAAAATACCCTTTGAATAGGAACTCATGTGAATTACCCTTGCCTCGAATGATCTGAAAATCCAACCTCTACCCAAAGCATGAACCCCCTCCCTGCCCCTGACAGGCCTCAGCTTGAAGACCTCCAGAGACAGGGAACTCACCACCTCCTGAGGCAGCCCAGTTCGTTTCTGGGCAGCTGTAATTGTTAGGAGGTTCTTCCTTAGAATGAACCAGAATCTATCCTCCTGCCTTTCTAGGAATCCAGAAGACGATGGATCTGAAACCCTCCATTACCTTGAAGTACCTCAAGGACATCCTAAACAAACCTAAGTTATCTTACTCTGCTGTGGATATGACAGGTGGAAAGGCTAGGGATCAATATTTGTATCGATCCTAATGATGGCTGAGTTTGGGGGAATCTTTGTGTAAATGGGAATTTATTGTCTTTATTAAGGGTAGAAGAGCACCTCTGCCTTATTGGAAAATTATGCCTGAGGGAAAAAACAGAGTTGTTCCAGCAGCCTCGTTTGAAAGGACTATCGGCAGCTAGGTGGCGCAGTGCATAGAGCAGCCGCTGAAGTCAGGAGGACCTGAGTTCAAATCCAGCCTCAGACCAAACACTTGACACTTACTAGCTGTGTGACCCTGGGCACGTCACTTAACCTCAATTGCCTAAAAAAAAAAAAAGAAAGAAAGAAAGGACCATCACAATATTAACGTTGATAACTTGGAAACTGGGATCATGGCTAGCAGGTTGATGGTGACCAATGCAGCCATCTTCAATTTATCTTACCCCTCCACTTTTTTCTCTCCCCTCAGGCACAAGAAGAAGAAGACTTGCTCATTGCTCAAGAGACCCAGATATCTCTTGAGGAGTCCCTCAGCCTATGGCAGATCAACCTGCATGAACTCTTCCTCCGTGTGCGGGGGTCTTGGCTGGGAAACTGGATCTTTGCCCTACTCTATTGGCTGTCTCCTGCTTCACACTGAGGGGCAGGCTGTATCCTCCACCTTGCCCTACAGCGACGCTAGGTTGAGTAGGCAGGAGGGGGACACCACTCTGTCTCTACTCTGCTTTCCAATGATGTGGTGGAGGGACCCCTAGGATCATTCTCTTCTCTGTGGTTGTACTCCATGATACATTTGCCCAGCCCTCTGTCAGCCTTGTCACCATGTAACAGTGGTCACAGAATCTACCAGCTATCTCCTAAAATGGTGGAATACCTCTCACACCCCCTTCATCATGACTCTTGGAGCAAGGAAAGGAAAACTTGAGTAGGGAAAGAACACCAGCAGTTTACTTCCCCCTCCTTAAAAGCAGAGTACTATTGAATTGAGTACCTCAAATCCCCCTTTCCCCAAAAATGGAACCTCAGGGGTAGAATTCTACTAGCCTTTTATATGGCCAACTATATAACTCATCCCTGTGTAGTGCTCACTGCTGGATGAATGTTGCTCCCATCACTGAGGCACAGTTTGACTCCAGAAGGGGATCAGGATGGATGAGCCAGAAGAAACTGCTCTTTTAGCTGAGATGCCCCTTTGTCCAAGAATGATGATGGAAAGAAAGTGGGCATTTCTCTCCTGCCAACATTCCTTACCAGAAGGTATAGGAAATTAGGACAAGGCAATCTGTGAGTTAGAGGGCACTCCATTTGTACTGTAAGCCCTGTCTAGGTGACCTCTCTTGTTTCTTGTCACAGTGAATACTTCAATAAAAACTCCAGTGTCATACAGATCAACTTGTTCTATCTACTTTTGGTGCCTTTCCTAATTAGATACCATGTTATTGTTCAGTCATGTACAACTCTGTGACCTCATTTTGGGGTTTCTTGGTAAAGACACTAGAGTGGTTTGCCATTTTCTTCTCCAACCCATTTTTATAGATGAGGAAATTGAGGGAAACAGGGTTCAGTGACTTGCGCAAGATCACGCAGCTAGTAAATATCTGAGGCCAGGTTTGAGCTCATGAAGATGAATCTTCCTAATTCTAAGCCCAGTGTCTATCCATTGTGCCACCTAGATGCCCATTAATTAGATGTCATAGCAAGAATTGTCTTAGCTGCCCACACCAGGGCCTTTCCTGGTGTGGCTGAGATGAGTCAGGGCTTTAGAACTGGAAACAATGTTAGAGGTCAGTGAATCCAACTGCCTCTTTTTACTTATGAGGAAACTGAACTTCAAGTAGGTTAAGTGACTTGTGCCTAGTACAATGCCTGTCACATGGTAGGCATTTAATAAATGGTTGATTATTTGCCCAGGGCCATACAGCAAGTAAGTGTCTGACATGGAATTTGAATCCAGGTTTTCCTGACTTCAAATCCAGAACTATTTACTAGATCCTCCTGCCTATAAGTGTCTTTGGCCAAGCCTGGTCTTTGTTGATAGAATTTGTGTTAAGGATGGATCAGTGTCAGAATTTGAACCAAGGTCTTCTGACTCTTAATCTGATGTTCTTTCTATAACACCATATTGGATTCGGGTAAAGCAAGGATAGGAGAAAAAAAATACAAGGACTTAACTCGAAAGATAAAATGGGGAATCCCAGAAATCAGACTTGTGGCCTTGCTACAAAGTAGAGGTTGACAATGAAAGGCCATTGAATGAGAAGCAATTCTAATAGGTTTTAGATCTGCTCTCTAGAGGGAGCTAGATGACACAGTGAATAGAGTGCTGGCCCTGGAATCAGGACTACTCCTAGAAAAATAGGGATACGAATGCATTGTTGGTAGAGTTGTAAACTGATCCAGCTATTCTGGAAAACAAGGTGGAACTATGCCCAAAGGGCTATAAAATTATGCAAAGCCTTTGACTCAGCAATACCACTACTAGGTCTGTATCCCAAAGAAATCAAAGAAAAAGGAAAAGGACCTATATGTACAAAAACATTAAAAGCAGCTCTTTTGTGGTGGCAAAGAATTAGAAATTGAGGGGATGCCTATCAATTGGAGAATGGCTGAACGAGTTGTGGTTTATGGTTGTGATGGAATACTGTTGTGCTGTAAGAAATGATGAGCGGGTGGATTTCAGAAAAACCTGGGAAGACATACATGAACTGATACAAAGTGAAGCGAGCAGAATCAGAATATTGTACATAGTAGCAGCAATATTATATGATGACCAACTGTGAATGACTTATCAAATCTCAGCAATACAGTGATCCAAGACAATTCCAAAGGATTTATGATGAAAAAGAAATTCACCTCCAGAAAGAGAACCGATGGAGTCTGAATGCTGATTGAACCACATTTTTTTTTCACCTTCTTTATTTTTCTTGCTTTTTTTTTTTTTTCAATGTGGCTGATATGGAAATATGTTTTGCATGATTTCACATGTATAATTGACATCACATTTCTTGCCTTCACAATGGGTGGGGGAGGGGTGACAGGGAGGGAGGGAATTCAGTACTCAAATTCTAAAAACCAAACAAATGTTTAAAATAAATAGATTTGAATTTAAAAAAAAAAACAAGAAAGATCTGAATTAAAATCATACCTCAGACGCTTACTAGCTATATGACCTTGGGTAAGTCACTTGACCTCTATCTACTCCAGTTTCCTCAGCTGTAAAATAGGGATAGTAATAGCACCTAGTCCCAAGGTTGTTGTGAGGAAGAAATAGATAATAGTTGTAAAATGACTAGCACACAATAAGTGCTCAATAAATGTTTATTCCTTCCTTCTGGTGAAATCAGGTTATGCAGCAAGGTAAGAGAATTTCCTTGAACCCTTTTAATTCTGTTTCATCTAATCCTCAGAAACAGAAAGAAAAAAAAAAGTCCTGGATTTGGTCTCCAGCTCTTAGCTTACTCTAAAGGTAATAATAAAAGATTCAGAGATGAAAGGAACCTTATCATCTAGTCCATTTAGTCCAGTGGCATTTGAGTTGAGGTTGGAAGGAATTTGATAGACTGAAAGGGAGATGATGAGACTCCAAGGCCTCTCATGTTGCAGATGAGGGTGCTGAGGTTCTCAGAGGGCAGGTGACTTATTCAAGATCACACAGGGAGTTAATATAGGATTTGAGATTCTATCCTCTCTGGCACACTGCAATTTTATTTATGATGGGCAATCATTTCAGTGACCAAGAACCATCCCTCTAAGCTTCTTGGAAAAACTCTTGAAAAGCCCGTCTTTAATCATAAGAATGAGTGTGACATTTTAAATTTTGATGGCCTCCATGATCGCTGGGAGTTTTCAGTTTTACTGATCCCAGGTAATCTTTCCCTTCCTTAGAGGCAATGTGGTGTAAAAGTTAGAGTCAGGAAGATCTGAGGTTGAGTCCTGCCTTTGAAATATTGGCTGTGTGCCTCTGGGTAAGTGGCTTGACTTCTCACTGCCCCCAGGCACTTTTCTAGGACTGTGATGAGCTTTGAAAGAAGGATCTCTGTCTGAGTTGGTAGGAATTCCTTATCTGGAGCTCCCTATGCTGATGAAATCCAGAATCCTGTCCAACAACAACAAAAAAAGTTGCCTGTGTTTTCTTTCTGCTTAGGGATTGACTGACTCTCTATTTTCCTGGAATTGGAAGCCTTTAAAGGTTGCCAGTGCGTTTGGCACGCCAAAAAGCTGCAGTGTTTATTTTACGCTTGCTCCTTTGGCCGATCGAGGTGCCTGAGTTGGAAATTAAAAGCCCTGCTTTAAAGGAAACAGCACCCGGGGAATAAAGATTCAGGTCGTAGGTGGGTAGCCGCAGTGGAGTCTGCCTGAAAAAGAGTTGACTAAGTCCAGTCTACTCCCTGGAACTTGTAGGGAAATAGAACTCACCCATTCAATGCAATAGTTTGGGGGTTTGTTTGTTTGTTTTAGCGAGACAATGGGGTTAAGTGACTTGCCCAGGGTCACACAGCTAGTAAGCGTCAAGTGTCTGAGGCCAAATTTGAACTCAGATACTCCTGACTCCAGGGCCGATGCTCTATCCACTGCATCACCTAGCTGCCCCCAATACAAAAGATTTTTACAAAGCACTTAAAATCAAGTCAAATCGACAAGTATTTATTAAGTCCCTGCTACGGCCAGGCACTGTGCTAAGTGCTAGGGTTACAAAGAAAGGCAAAAAACAGTCCCTGCCCTCAAGGACCTCATAATCTAATGGAGGGGGGGAAGGGAGGAGGCAGGCAATGTGTAACCAACTAGGTACAGACAAAATGTATATGGGTAAACTGGAGATAATCACAGAGAAAAGGCACTAACATTAAGGGAGACCAGGAAGAGCTTATCAAACCTACAGCGGGCAAAACACCATACTGTGGGAAGGAAGGCTGCCTTTGGCTTCTATGATCTACAAGGGGCTAGGATGCCATATGATGAGAGCAGTTGTCCTCCATAATAACAGGATCAGTGCATTAGATGTAAAGCACTAACAAAGCTTCTCTGCTGTTTTTGTCCTATCCCGCTGGGAGTGGATTGGAGTGAATTTTATTAGAAAAAGAGGTTTCTGGCTGTTGTCCCCCAGGCTTAGCCTCAGGGTAGAATGGTTTGTGGTGCCCAGAGGACCTGAGAGGAGAATTTGTCCCAGTGCTACCTGCTGTGATTCTGAAATGGCATCAGCCTCACTTCCACAGCCTGAGCCCCTCCCCGACTCCCCTCTCTGTCCTGTGGAAGAAGCTGTAAGGTTTGACAGATGATTGAGCTTACTGCTTTCTTATAAAAAGCAGTCACTTTTTGCCTGAAGCAATGATAATGTCTATCAGGAAAGCAGCAGAGGCTGACTTCCTGAGGCCTTTCCCCTCCCTTAGAACAGAGACTTTTTAGTGAATTTAGCTTTAGTAAAAAGTGTGGGTTGACAATCCAAGAACAGGATGTTCCCTGCACAACAGACAGTTGGGATGTTGGCCTTGGAAACAGAGCTCCTCCTTGATCTTAAAAAAAAGATTAGTTCTTAGGATCATAGATTCTGAGTGAGGAGAGACCTCAGAGGCTGTCTACCCTGACCCCCTATTTTGTAGATGAGGAAACCGAGACCTCAGAAGATATATTTATTTCCCCAAGGTAAAGTAGTTTAATTAGTAATCGTGAGAGGTGAAATTTGGGCCTGGGTCCTCTAGCTGCAAAGCCACTGTTCTTTGAAAACCCAGATCGCC